GATGTGGAGACCTTTTCCTTTCATGGGGGAAATAAAAGACTGAGAACCGAATTCTGAGGTCTGTGTGATGTAAGAGGAAAACTGGAGGTTTACTGCTTCTGTAAGCCCCAGCAAATGCAAGCATATACAAATACACCCTAATATCTCTGGGCCTTCTCGTCAGAGGTGAGCTCAAAATAGGGTCACTGTGGGGAAAATGAGCCATGCAACAACGGTGCTGGAAATTGTGGCTGGAAGCTTCTTTAAAGACTAGAAAGGAGGGCGCCTGGGTGGCTCAGTTGGTTAAGCGACTGCCTTCAGCTCAGGTCACGATCCTGGAGTCCTGGGATCGAGTCCCGCATCAGGCTCCCTGCTCGGCAGGGAGTCTGCTTCTCCCTCTGACCCTCCCTCCTCTCATGCTCTCTCTCTCTTATTCTCTCTCTCAAATAAATAAATAAAATCTTTAAAAAATAAAAAAATAAATAAATAAAGACTAGAAAGGAGTAACAAGGGCAGACGAAAATTCTGACGTGTCGATCACTAACCTAGTTTGAATTGTTGTGTTAGATAAACACGTTTGTCTGGCTGAGTTCCTCATTTGAGGGTCACTGCTGAATTCTAAAATAATAATGTGTTCAGATTGTTTCTGGCCATGCTTTTCCTCTTTCCTTTTATAATCGCTTTGATGCTATTCCGAGCTTTTATGAGGCCAGGGTCTGATCCGATGGTAGAAGGTTGGTGTTAATTCACAGATGTCAGGAGCTTCGTTGCCCAGCTGCTGCCCACATTGATGAGCCCCAGCTAGAGATCAGAGAGACCACAGGGCCGAGAGTTGTGGTGGTTGTTGCTCTCGTCGTCGTTACGGACAGAACTCAGAACAAAAGAAGCAAGAGTTCATAAAATTATAGGATTACAGTTGTAAGTCCTAAGGGGCCATGTAGTTCATTTCTTATCCATCGGACAGCCACACCTCAATTCTCCCCCCTAAAATAGAGGTTTCTTTTTTTTTTTTTATTTGAGAGAGAGAGTGAGAGAGAGAGAGAGCACAAGAGGGGGGAGCGGGAGAGGGAGAAGCAGACTCCCTGCTGAGCAGGGAGCCCGATGCGGGACTCGATCCCAGGACTCCAGGATCATGACCTGAGCCGAAGGCAGTCGCTCAACCAACTGAGCCACCCAGGCGCCCAGAGGTTTCTATTCTACTTAAAATATATCCAGAAAAGAGAAAACTGGGCAAATAGAACATTAGATTTATTGTCTGGTTGTCTTTTAAAGTGCTCGTGGTGGTCAGAGAATCATTAAATTGAGAAATAAATGATTCAGGAAGAATAAACTAGTCTGATCATGCAGAAAAAAAATGTCTCAACAAGGAGAGCGAAAATAATTGAAATTTCATTATACTGTTTCAGTGTCTGTTTTCCATAAAATAATCCTATAATTGTCTACTGTGTGACAGCCTGAGCCACTCAACCAATGGAATGATTAATGGAAACAGCAGTGAAGGATTTGTCACACTGACACAGGGCGAGGAAGTGTGTGATAGTCATTAGAAAGCAAAAATGAGATAAACATCACCGTTAGGCTAGCAGATGTGGACTGAACATGGAGGAAACTGTTTTGGACACGGTTATAGAACTACCTATCTCACCGTCTTGTTTTCTTTAAATGGTCAGCTTAGCAAGCATGTAGTAGATGAACCCAAGGCTGAGCTGAGCCCCAGCTTGGGAGACCACAGACTCATAGTCTCCAGGACCATTGACTGAAGCATGGTTTGATATGAGAAATGGGAGATGTGGAGGCAGCTGAGCCTTGATGGAATTCCAGCCAGGCACATGATTGGAATGCACAGACCCTTGTTTTCATCATTTTAAAATATGGGAAGATAACATTAACTTTAAATTAGTTCAGTTTAAAGTGGGGGAGGTAGCCTGTTTGTAGTCGATGCTCAGAAATTGAGTAGGTGTTCCTTCTTAGTTTCCTGCCTGGATCTATCCCAGATACGCATGGTGGCCGCAAAGCGGAGGGTGCCCTAAAAATGTGGCTGTTTTGGCCTGAATTTGTCATCACCATCATCAGAGCAACTTAAAATATACGCCCTTCCATCTCAGAAAGAGTTAAAGAGATGCTTTCTTGCCAGGTCTTATAACAAGACAACTTGAATGATAACATCCAATAGAGAAAAAATGTTTAGCAGTAATGTCAGATTAGTCATTTATTTATCAAGTATGTTTTATGTTCCTACTGTGTGCTGGGCAAGGTACACAATGTGAGAATAATAATCCACGAAATGGCAAACTTCACCCCATCACATAATGGTCAAGTTTTTGTAATATTTTTTTAGAAGAAATGATTAACTTAACAAGCGCAGGTTCTATGCTTTATTCATTTTTGTGTCTTCTCAAATGTCTGCCATGGTGCCTTTGACAGAAGAGTTGCCTAATAAACTATCACTGAATGAAGACTGTATGATACATCTTTAGCAGTAAAATGATTACTCAAGGAAATTTGGGTTTTTTGGTTCATCTTACTGAAATTATATCTGATAAATGTTCACTTATTGCTCCTAACAGGAGAGTGTAGCACTGTTATGCAACAAACCACATTTCAGGCATGTAAACACATCTTTATATCACCTCAAGGAAGCTAAAATGTGCTCATGGTTATGAATGGATACACTGTTTTGCACAATACTTAGCCTAAATAATTACTGTTGTACAAGAGGGCTGCATCATTGAGGAGATCTTGTATAAATTATGCAAATTACATTATTTTATCATGCCTTGGAAAGAGTATAGGTTTGGGAGTAAGTCAGAGCAGGTTAGATTCTAACTCTACCACTTAACTTCTCTGAGCCTCAATGCCTTCATATTGATATGGGAGTAATGACATCTGCAGCATATGATTAGGGTATGGAATAAATGAGAGCTCTTGGGGTCTCCCAGCCTTTGAACTACAGACCCCTGCAGAGCCTTGGAAATATTACAAAGGGTCTGCGGACTCATATGTACCTATTCCATGCCTTTAGTCTATTTTGAACATATATGCATTAGTGTTTTTCAAATGCTTGTAGGTTAATTCAAGACTCACTCATTCAGCAACTGTGTTTTGAGCACTAACAAATAAACAGCATCAGACATAGGGGCTATACTAAACTACAAAACAGACAGATAACCCTGTTCATGGATCTTCTATTCTAGTGTGGGTGGGAGAATAACTACACAAGATAAATAAGTAAAAGTTTATAGGGAAGTGATAAGGATTCGATGAAAAAAGAGAGAGAGGAAATATAAAATGTAAAAAAAAGGGGGGGAGGGTTTTAAAATTTTAGATGGGGTGGCCAAGGAAAGCATCCCTAGAAGGTCTCACTGAAGCAAGTAAGGGAGTTAACCATATGGACATCTGGGGGAAGAGCATTCCAGGTCGAGGGAGAAGCTAATACAAAGGCCCTTGTGGAAGGAACAGTACGGATCACAATCATGACTGGTCCAAAAGGGGCTGGAGAGGAATGAGCGAGAAGGTAGTAGGGCACAGTGTTAATGAAGTGACCAGATCATGCAATACTTATGTATCTGAAAAAGCACTCTGCTTTTTCTCTGAGGGACTTGGGGAGTCGTCAGAGGGTTTGAGCAGAGGAGTGGCAAGATCAGATTCATATTTTAGTAGACCACTGTCTTGAAAATAGACTGGATGAGGGGAAGGACAAAAGCAGGGGGGCCAGTTAGGCTACAGCAATAATCCAGGCAAGAGATGATGGAACTTGGAGCAAGGTGATGAAGGGGGTGTGTGCAAAGACCCTGGATTCTGGACCTATTTTGACAGAATAGGTAGAGTTGACAAGGTTCACTGATGGACTTTTGTGGGGCGTGAGAGAAAGAGAGATAAGGAATGGCACTGCGGTGCCTGGGTGGCTCAGTGGGTTAAGCGTCTGACTCTTGATCTCAGCTCAGGTCTCCATCTCAGGGTTGTGAGTTCAAGCTCTGCAATGGGCTCTGCACTGGGCGTGGAGCCTGCTTGAAAAGAAAAGAAAAAGAAATGACACCATGATTTTTGGCCTAAGCAATGAGAACAGAGTTATCACTAATAGGCTGTAAGGAAGGCTTGGGGATTCAAGCTTCATTTTGAACATATGAAGTTTAATATTAGACATATAAGTGGAGATGTCAAAAGGCAGCTTTTTAATGTAAAAAATACAAAACTATTTTTTTAAAGATTTTATTTATTTATTTATTTGAGAGAGAGAGTGTGGGGAGCAGGGGCGGGGGGGAGAGGCAGAGGGAGAGAAAGTCCCAAGCAGACTCCGCACGGAGCGCAGAACCCAATGTGGAGCTCAATCCCATGACCCTGAGATCATGACCTGAGCTGAAACTGAGTCAGAGGCTCAACGGACTGCACCACCCAGGCGCCCCAATACAAAGCTATTTTTAAAATATTCCTGAATAGTAGCTTTTTTCAGCATAGTCTAAAAATAGAGTTATAATGTTTGTGTCCACATAATATTTTTAAATTGAAAAAAAACCATGTACTCGGAAAGGTTGGAAACAGACATAATTGTCAAGTGACAATTTCAGTAGCCAGTAAATATACTTTCTATCTCCTCTTGCTTTAATACATGTAGATTTCAAACTGCAGCATCATATAGATTTTGAAATCTTAATTTTGGCCTTGAGATTTTTTTTCTTTTTTAATAAAGTTTTTAATGGAGCTTTCCGGAAAGACAAGCCCTATGGGTGGCAGAATTGAAAATTGTGTCGGCTGGCCCACATTATTTTCTTTTGGAAGGAAATTAGACTGTTCACCTAGTCCATGTCCCCTTGTCATTTTTTTGTGCACCTCACCGGTGACTTGCATGTGAGAGAAGTGAGAGACAGAGCTCTGTGCTATTGTGGAATTTACAGCGTAAGGTAAAATATGTGGTAGGTCTCATGTGGAAATACTGCTGTTTTATTGTTATTTTAATTAGCTTAAACACATGATGGTTATAGCACCAGTTTGCGATGGTTCATTTTCACATCTACCCTTCTCAGTCGTACGCAGGGAAGTACATACCAGCCCTTGCACACTATATCCACACCTTCGGCCCCATGATGACAACGAAGATCAACCTTAAAGGAATTGCTCTTGGAGATGCGTATTTTGATCCTGAATCAGTAGGTGTCTCCTTTTTCCTTTCCATTCTGCCCTTTAAGGAGATTAAATCCCCTTTAATCCAACGGAGGCTCGGACCTTAGAGACCTAACTTGATGGAGGGAAATAATGTTGTCTGGTTGACTTTCTAATGATTTAAAGCCTTCTCATTTTCTTATTTTTTATTTTTTTAATTTTATTTTATTATGTTAAAACCTTCTCATTTTTACCAAATGCTTTAAGGTGTCAACTTACTATGTCAGCCTAGGTTGGTTGTGAGTGGGAACGTGGGGCATGCGCACGAGTGTGTGTGTGATGTTTCTGTGTATTTTGTGCGTGTGTGTGGTGTGTGTATGTTTGGGGTTTGTGTGTGTTGTGTATGTGTTTGTGTGTTCTGTCAGGTCCGCGCGCGCGTGTAACTGTCTTGCGTGGCTAATTCCCGCACGGGATTGACAAATGACAGAGGGTTATTTCACCAAGCAGGCGGGCTTCCCTGACTTCTCTCTTTCTTTCCCTGTGTCGTTTGTGTTCCTCTTTTCTCCTCAGATCATCGGGGGCTACGCCGCATTCCTGTACCAAGTTGGCTTGCTGGATGAGAAGCAGAGAAAGTACTTCCAGAAGCAGTGTGAGGACTGTGTGAAATACATCCGGGAGAAGAGGTGGCGTCAAGCCTCTGAAGTGAGTTCGGCACCTGCATTGCCTGCAGCAATGAGCACCATCTGAGCCGCTCCTAGAAGCGTCGCGGTACTCAGACATTCTGCTGTTGTTAGAGGAGGTGTAGCTGGTACGCTGATGGGGCAGATGAGTGCGGGCTCAGAGTGAGGGGAAGAACCGTCCAGGTCGTTCCGAATTTACTTTGGCCGTACTTTAAACCTGCAGGCACCTTGGAGTGTTTATCTAGCTATGTCTTCCATTAACTGTTTTGATTTCTTCAAATGCCGTGTAGGCCCTAAAGGCATGCCCCGTCACAAGGAAATCAGAAGAAAGGCGACCCAGAAAGTAGATACATATGCTTCAGCATATGTTCAAAACCCTTCAGAAGGGTGATATCCACACACGGCCTTCCAGCTGGAGACGTGGCCTCAGTGTGTGACGAATGTCCCGTGTTTCTGCGTGTCAGGAACAAAGATGATAAAGCCTAGTGATTTGAAGCTTTCACAAAGAGCTGTTGGTATTTGTAAATATTGTCACAATGCTCCCCTAAAATTGAATTTGAGAATCAAATGCTACGGTTCTATCCCTTGCCCTTTTTGTTGAGATGGGGGGAGTTATTTAAAATCTGAGATTATACTAAATATTCACATACAGGAGTTTGAGGTTTTGGTTTGGTTTGGTTTGGTTTTTCCAGTGCAGACAAAGATCGTGTATCACTTGTCTTTTTTAGGTTGTTTTGTTTGTTTGTTTGTTTGCCATCTTTACCATAGAGCCATCATGTTTCACATATTAGTAAATGAGGCACAGATTGCATTTGGAGGACTTCAGTCTTTGTTCTTGGGAACACATCCTGTATTAGTTTACCTAACAGCATTATTGTTGTTAAGGCTGAGGCCTGATATTAATAGTCTTCTAGGCACTGCAGGTCAGCTGGTTCAGATCAAAGCAGGAGACATACAAACTCAGGGAGAAAGGGGTAACAAGGTTAAGCTCCATTTAATAAGCAGGGTGCCTCACGCTGCCTGAAATCCCCAAAGCAGTCAATGCCCTTACCGTCAGTTCTGACAGCAGCAAGATGTGCAGCTGAAACCATCCCTCAAGATGCCAACAGCCTCCGGTTTGCCTGTGCCAGGACAGCTGGTGTGGCTGCAGAGTGCGGATTCAGAATGTCTGTGCAATTATAAATGCAAAGGAAGAGGGATCTTATGGGGACATGTAAGATCCCTCTTCCATGTGCAATGACACTATTTTCAGGCCTGGTTTTTGGCTATCTGTTTAGTAGGCAGAAAGGGTAAAAGGATTGAACCTCTAGAATTTAAAATTAATATCAAATGTTACGTCACGTGAGACCAATTGGCAAGTGAGAGATTTGATGTGTTTTTGAAGAAGCATACAGGGATTAAGTGATGTCAAGAGGAAAAGCATCTGATGGACCGTAAGGGGTAAGGAAAGCAGAAAGATGTCCTTGCTGCATGTGCTGCAGCAGCCTGAGTACCTGCAGGATTAACGAAACTGTTGAAAAGTTCAGGTCATTTTGTGTATTCAGAGGTAATGAGAAGATGGTCCATGAGGTTAGAGCTCTCCCAAACTAGATTCGTCAGAAAACAAAGCAAAAGGCACAAAAACCCAAAACAAAACAAGACCAAAACAACAACAAACCTAGGAAGGTATGCAATGTCTCTGTGACCATTGATCCAATATCTTGAGTGATGAATTCACTTAATAATCTTTGTTTTATTTTAAGGGAAATAGATAAGCTGATACTTAGGAAAGTAGCCAGTAGAGGTAAAATGTGTGTCAGTGTATGTAATAGAAGGCTTGGAGAAATCCTGAGACCCAAGAGAGCACATTGTCAAAATCACAAGCCTAAATAATAAAGCCTGTTGGATGCTCTGATCCCTTAATATGATTTAGTTAATAAAAAAGCAGTAACTTGGAGCTGGAGGGAATTTTATAGACTATCTTCTGCCCCTACACACATGCACACATCCACACTTCACTGATGAGGAGGCTGAGGCCAGGAGGGACTGCATTCAGTGGCCAAAAACTACATAATAGACTGTGGCAGGCCTAGGACTGGAATCATCCCCCCCCCCCCCACCACCTCGCCTCATGATTCCCACCCTGGTATTCTCCAGTGGTAACTTTCATGCAGTCTGTAAAAATCCTGGAGCATTCAGACATTCTGCAAGATGCAGAGTGGCCCATCTCTGGCTCTGTATTGTCCCCCTTACCATGACAACGTTCTGGATCACAGAGTTCTTTCTGTGAAACAAATTTTGACCAAAACCTGGATCTCACAGGTATTGACCACCCACCTCACTTGTCTGACAACAAATGATTTTTGACTCTTTCTGAAATTAGATCCATTCTTAAGGGTAGAATTTATATTCCCATTGGTGTTGAAAATAATTTCTTTTTTTTTTTTTAAAGATTTTATTTATTTATTTGACAGAGAGAGACACAGCGAGAGAGGGAACACAAGCAGGGGGAGTGGGAGAGGGAGAAGCAGGCTCCCCGGTGAGCAGGGAGCCCCATGTGGGACTCGATCCCAGGACCTGAGGCGCTTAACGACTGAGCCACCCAGGCGCCCCTGTTGAAGATAATTTGTAAGGATAAAAAAAATGCCACCTATATTCAGGACTGCCACTAGCCTACGGTGTTGCCTCTGGGTGGACAAGTTAGAAAAAGACACCTCCTCTGAGTTGACAGAGTCCTGTGGATTCAGGGTTTGGCAAGTGGATGCCACCATTGTGCGAGAATAAAGATGGCTGTTTCTCCAAACACAGCCCAAGTGTGGTTATCCAGCGTGGCAACCAGAACTCTGGCTGCTTCTCTACCCCTCAGCCAGGCATCCCCAGTGCAGTGCACAGTGTGCAGCCAGTGGTGCTGAGTGACTGTAGCATTTCTAGAGCATATTTACTGCTCCCCCCACCCCCTTCCACAATGACAATCCTTTTCATACTTGGTCTCTAGCCCTGTGGCAATAGTCACTGGGATAAATTAAGTTGCTTCATGTTTGGTGAAGAAAACTGATCTAATAAAATAATGGAATTGTATATTAAACCCAAAAGCGTGGCCAGAGAGAGTTGAAGACTAAGAGAGACGGCAGTCTGCCCCTTGGAGAGCTAGCGTGTGGGGGGTGGAGCATGTAGGCTGGAGAGGCATGGCCTGGGCTTGAGTCTCTCCTCTGACATTATTAGTGAGGCATCCTTGGTAAGTGACTTAACCTCTGTGTGCCTCAGTTTCCTCACCTGTAAAACTAGGATACTACTGTCCTGAATTCTTACCGTGTAAGAAAACCTAAAATCATACCTGATCATTGGTTTTGAAAATGTGTCGAATTCATCCTTTTTACAAGAGCCCCTTACAAACTCAATATCCTCATCCCAAAACGTCCCAATGTTCTCAATCTCTTTTGTAAGTATTCCCTTCATCTTCTTGCTCTGCCCCAAAGCTGCTTCTCCCCTGCTTCTGTCACTTCCCCTCTCAAGCAGGGGCTGAGTTCTGTCTCAGCTATTTTGTACCACTTGGTTCATGGGTAGAGTGGGTGTCCTCCTTGCTCCTCATTGCTGTCCTCAGATCATGTTCTGTCCCTCCAGAAGCACTGAGCTCTGCCTCTCACATTCTCACACGGTCCCACCTACCACTCCTTACAGTTACCTACCACCCTCCAGCTTTCTCCTTCCCATCCCTGAGAGTGCCTCACTGTCATTCTATCTCAAGGGCATCACGCTTGTCATCATTTCTAGTGAGACCTGTTTCCCCCTCCCTGCAGTGCACCTTGCACTCACACACACACACACACATGCCGTGACACTTCCTACTCTCCTTCTCCTCTTTAGTTTCCTCCTTAACACTTACCACACTGCATGTTTTTCCTATGAGTGCTTGCTTCTTGTCCCCCTCGAGGATATAAGCTCCGGGAGGGAGGACTTTCGCTCTCTTGTTCATGCTGCTGTGTCCCCAATGCCTGGGACAGTGTCTAGCACAGAGAAGAGGTGCAATAAATGGTCACTGAATGAAACGATGCAGGAATGAGAAAACTATTGAATCAATGCAATGACAAGTGCCTGTGTGTTTTTACCAACCCTGAAGTTTTCCTCCTTGCTCTCTCTCTCCTGACCTAGGTACTGGATAAACTACTAGACGGTGACTTAACAAACAACCCTTCTTACTTCCAGAATATCACAGGATGTCCTAGTTACTACAGCATATTACAGTGCAAGGTAATGACAACATTTTTAAAAAGATGATAGTGTTTGCTTAAAACTTTTGGCAAAACCAAACTTCTTCCCATTTGAGAAATACTGTAGGTGACTTTATACTAGATAAATATGTCCTCACTGTATTGCATTATTTGGTCTACTAATCTATAGGATTTCCCCCTCACTGATGTTGTATATGTTATAATCTGACCATCAAGAGTGTCTGATATTCCAGATAACTCAAAATAATCTCTGATTAACACAATTTACCGCCCCCCCCCCCCCCCCCCCAGTAGAGCTTGTTACACAGACGTTCTTTTGTCAAGGACAGAGGCCAGGATTGCAGTTCTGGGTATTAGGTTCCAGAATGCCAAGGCTGTAGTGAGTTTCTTGAAAATGTCCACATTATTTGTTCTATACTTAAAACAGCTTGGATAATCAAAACTGCCAAAGCCTTTAGGAAAATACTTGCTTTGTCTTACTTTTAACTTAAGATGGTTTGTGCACTTAGTATGGCCCTCACTTCAAGCCCTTTGGAATATTTCTCAAAATATTCAAGTAGTTTTCTTCCATAAAAGTAGGCCAAAGTTGATGTCTTCTGTGCAGAATTAAATCAAACAAAAGGAGCCAAGGTGGGTATTTGGATTTGTCTCATCTTTATCTAGTGTATATGACAATACATCTTGTTTTTAAAATTGCCTTATTAACTATTTTGTAAATAAAATATAAAGCTAATTTCATTAGAATCTGCCAACCCTGTGGTTTTGGATTTAGATTCTACCAAGAGAAAACCATATGGTAGGCAAGAGAGAAACAGAATTGTAATCACATTTCTTTTTCCTTTACAAAAGGATGTATTCAAAAGATGAGCAAAAATTGAGGGTGCACGAAATTGTTGATCTCAAACTCTTTTTTATCCTTTTGTAATTTTAAAAAAAGCATTTATACCTTTTTTCTTTTAGTATGATGAATATCACAGACTTTTATGCAGTATTTTTTTTTTTAAAGATTTTATTTATTTATTTGACAGAGAGAGACACAGCGAGAGAGGGAACACAAGCAGGGGGAGTGGGAGAGGGAGAAGCAGGCTTCCCGCGGAGCAGGGAGCCCGATGCGGGGCTCGATCCCCGGACCCTGGGATCATGACCTGAGCCGAAGGTAGACGCTTAACGACTGAGCCACCCAGGTGCCCCTGCAGTACTTTTTTCTTAATAAGGCTCATGGACAACTTTTCTTTTGTCTCATGTCCTTCATAAAGTCATCTGTTTTTACACTTGGCATATTTCCCCCCTTCAGTTATGGTTAGCTGATTATTTTATTCGTGTGGTTTTAATAAACAGCAGAACATGAAAAAGAAAGCCTCAGCTTTTAACCCACCAGACCACCACCCTGGCTCCAGTGGTCCATTTGACTTTCATCCCATAGAGCCTCAGACAAGGAGCAAATTGCTTTTGATAATCTCACCTCTTCTGTTTTCCCTGTCTTTGCCTCAAATGGGGTCCTTGAGGGGAGTCAGAGATTGCAGAAGATGACTTACCAAGAAAGGAAAATTGAGCATTTAAATGCAAATGGGGCACTGGCTCTGAAAATATCAGATCATCCAGTTTTGTTGTTAGTAAAATTTAAACTCCCTCAGAACCCCCAAATTAAAAATTTCGTGTGGAGACCAGTTAATAGTCATGTCTCATCTTGTTCATTATGGTTTATGTCAGGAGAAATTTGCAGCTTTCCCAGCATGCTGTTCCTGCCACCCAGTCATGTTCCCTAATATTTTTCTGATGTTCCCTTCTGCCAGGAACCTGAGGACCAAAATTACTACGGGAAATTTTTGTCCCTCCCACAAGTGAGGCAAGCCATCCATGTGGGAAACCGGACCTTTAGTGATGGATCCGAAGTTGAAAAGTACATGCGAGAAGATACAGTAAAGTCCGTTAAGCTCTGGTTAGCTGAACTCATGAACAATTACAAGGTAAGAGAGTTACTTCAGTTACTGTCTATTTCAGGAACTTTTTAGATTACCCAGAGTGGAAGTGACTTTCTCTTGTTTGTAATTCAACTTCTGCCGTTTTGTCTTTACCTTTAGGATATTTTACAAATACAAATAACAACCCTCAGACTGTTTGATTTCTTTGAATTAAGTTTTATTTTTGCCTCCTAATTAAATAACTATCCCTTGGTAGTTTCTTAAAATGAAATTCTCTTTGGCATATGCCACGTCTCATTATTTCTTGAGAAAGGAAGTACAGCAGAGCCAACATGACTGGCCTTGTGGAAGCCAATTTTGCCTTATTGCTTGCTTTATAATATTAATCCCAATGAAGTCAGGGATAAATGAAATCAACTGATTATTCCAAAAAGTACATTTTACCTCATAATTGTATTCATTTCCATTGCTCTATCACAATTTTTTCAGTATCTGCTTTAAGCCTGAAACAGTGCTAGGCTGTCAGCTTGAAACAATGAATGAGAAAAGGTCCATGTTTTGAGGAGTATAAATTCAAGCACTTTGTTTATCTGAGATGTTCTGCCTGATTTGCGGCTGGAGGTACCCAAAGAAAGTGAAAGCATGAAGCCCTGAAAATGCAGGCAGACAGGGCATGGACCCTAGAATTCTCACCATGAGGGAAGGATACCAAGAGCAAGTGATGTGGGGAAAAGTCATCCTATGAATTTCTTTCCTGCTACTACTATTCTCACCTCCTCCGCTGATCTTCCTGAGCTGTTACCCTCTGTCCTAGGCCAGGTCTGTGGGGCACCTCCACAGGCTAAGTGTGTTCATGATAGAGGGGACCACCACCTGAGATGAGCCACCTCCTCTCTAGTTCCTGGCAGACGCAAGAGTAATGTTAGAGATGAACAAAAACCAGGGCAGCCAATAGTCAACACACCTTTGTATGAATTAGAAAAAAAGACAGCCTCCCCTCAGGATTCTTTAGTTCCCTTGGTCAAAAAATTCTCCTAATATATTACTTTAATTTGAACCAACCTCTTTACTACCATTTTCTGCCATGAGGAATACACATGTCTACAAGGTCTATGTTAGGAATACTTTCCCTTGGGGATTGTTCTGTGTACAGTCCTCAGTACTATGCAGGGAGTCTGTCGCCCAAGGTACCTTACTAGATTGTGTTCTGAACTATGCCAGACCTCGAAGGCCCATGTTTTGGTGCTGTCTCTAGTACACAGTTTGTGTCCCTCGACATACAACCCTTATTGAAAAAACATCTACGGTCAGTGGCATGCAGTCTACAAACCCATTATAAATTTGCAGAATTTGATGAAATACTTTCTAAGAAAGAAAGAGTCTAGCTAGATGAGGTCAGAATTTCAACCGTCCTTGTGTTTGGTTCCGTCGGGGTCCTGAGTGCTTGCCTACTTGGAGCCTTCTCTGCACACCTTTTTTTTTTTTTTAGAGAGATTTTATTTATTTCAGAGAGAGAGAGAGTTCATGAGCATGGGGGAAGGGTATAGGGAGAAGCAGACTCCCCGCTGAGCAGGGAGCCCAACACAGGACTCGATTCCAGGACCCTGAGATCATGACCTGAGTCAAAGGTAGACGCCTAACCAGCTGAGCCACCAAGGCGCCCCTCTGCACACATTTTTAAAGCACTTAGTTGGTTGTCCTCGTCTCTGAGCTCTCAGACCATGTTGTCTCTACCGCTGTGGCCACATTTAGCATCCTGGAATGTCATTGCAGGCTGTCCATTCCAACACCAGCCTGGAGCAGATGTCAATTACAAATGAATGAATGAATGAATGAAAAATCCATTCTATAAATTAGTGCTACATCAAAGATATAGCTAATAAATTTGTCCATGATTCATTAGATATTATCTACAAATTCATTAGGCCAGAAAGAGCCGAGCACTTGTGTTTTCAAGACATAAACAGTGGGCTATAACATTAAAGAATACAAAGTGGTTTTTTTTTTTGAGTGGAGAGCAGATAAGGAAGTTCTACGTACATTTTTTGTGCTCTTGGGAGATACATTTTCCCACTGTCTAAATTTCACTACAATATGATTCTTTTCTCAGCCAAGGGAGGATAGGGAGGAACACACAGCTCACCTGATGATAAAAACTCTCCTGATGCTGACTAATTGCCATAGAGTATCCCCTTGATTGATGAAGACTATATTGATTAAAAATGATCCAGTGTTTCGATACGTAAACATCTCTGTCCCTGTTCCCTATGTATCTTAAACCTACCAAAATGAATTCCAGTGAAATCAGAATATTCTTTAAACTTTAAACTCTTAATCAGTTGTCAGAAAAAAGAGGATAGATTGGTGGTACAGATAAACCATGTTTCCATAAAGAAAGAGAACAAAGTATGCAGTCAGTCTGAGCGCAGACCAAAAGTGACTGCTGCTGAAACAGACTACATATTCATTGCTACAGCTGGTATTGCCTACGGGGCGATGATTATCTTTGGCTTGTTGTCTGTTAATGTTGGTGAACCTCAAAGTATATGCAGTAGAATCAGAACAACCTAGGTTGTCTTAAAACATTAGTACCCTCAAAATTATATTTATGCAATCCTCAGTGCTAATTTGTCATAGAAAATAGCATACATGTTTCTATTCATAGGAACATGGACATCTTTTTCCAGTACTAGATTCATTTTAGGCAATGTGGAGTATCTCTGATGGGCTGAGGAAGACCTTCATCAGTTTCTGGGAACTAAGAGAATGCCTGTGGCACATCAGTTTCTGTGTGAGATGCGTAGAAACATAATCCTTTTCTTGTAATGACTTATAGGGAATGCGTACTCAAAGTCATTTTCTTCCATTAACTTCAGATGTTTGGGCAGTAAAATGAAATATATTAGCAGTTTCCAAAATAAGTAGGAGAAGAAATAATCCGTTGGACTATTGGAATTCTCATGATTAAGTCAGATTACAATACTATCAGGATTTTTAGAGTTAGCTGGGTCATAAAGCATGATGGTTATGAGCATGGGTTCTTAAATATTTTGAGTTTGAATTCTGGTTCACCATTCACTGGCTTTGTTCCTTTGGGGGAAGATACTTATAACCTCTCTGTTCTTCAGCTTTCTTATCTGTAAAATGGGAATAATAATAGTACTTATAGGTGAGTTCTTGTGAGATTTAAATGGATTACATATGTAAAAACACTTAGAATAATGACTAGTGGTTAGAAAGTGCTTGAAAATATAGGCTATTACCAATGATGTTCAACAAATTTTAGCAATGGTCCTTAAGCACATGATACATAAAAAAGTTATATAAGAAACCCTGAAAAACACAAAAATAAGAAAGACTTAACAGACTTTTGGTTTCCAGTTCAGCATGTAAGGAGCTTAGAATTTACCACTCGATCTGAAGAATAAGTAAAAAGTTAACCAAACTGAAAAGTCAACAACTCTTCTTAGATCTGTGAGAGAAGTGAGGTCAGAGGGCAAACTACTTCTCCATAAGTTGGAAAGAGGCGAATACAGAGAACCACAACTTATCTGAGTAGAAACCTCCATAGTAACCAATGCCAAGGTAGAAAAACCTGAACTGTAAGTTTTTACAATAGGAAAATGAACAACCCATTAAAAAATGGTCAAAGACCTTAACACACCCAAGTCTTAAGACCTTAACCTCACTCAAGAAGATATACAGATGGCATGTAAGCCTATGCAGAGATGTTCAACGTGATGTGTCATTAGAGAGTTGCAAATGTAAACAATGAGATGCCACTACGCACCTATGAGAATGGCCAAAATCCAGAACACTGACAACACCAAGTGCTAGGGAGGATGCAGAGCAACAGGAACTCTCATTCATTGCTGGTGGGAATGCACAATACTATAGCCACTTTGGAAGACAGTTTGGGAGTCTGTTGTTTGCTTGTATTTTTTTTTTTTTTTTTTATAAAACTAAACAACTTTTACCATATAATCCAGTAATCATACTCCTTGGTATTTACCCAAGTGGATTGAAAAACCATGTCTACACAAGATACTTCATGCAGGTGTTTACAGCATCTTTATTCATAATTGCCAAAACTTCTTGGAAGCAAGAAGATGTCCTTTAGTAGGTGAGTGGATAAACTGGGTAGTATAGACAATAGACAATATTATTCAGCACTAAAAAGAATGAGCTGTCAAGCAATGAAAAGACATGGAGGAAACTTAAATGAAAGAAGTCCATATGAAAAAGCTACACACTGTAGGTTTCCCACCATATGAGATTCTGGAAAAGGGAAAGCTACGGAGACAGTCAAAGGTTCACTTGTTGCCAGGGGTTAGGGAGGAGGGTGAGGTGAATAGGTAGGGCATAGAAGATCTTTAGGGCGGTGAAACTATTCTATATGATATTATAATGGTAGATCCATGTCATTATGCATTTGTCAAAATCCATTGACTATATACCCACCACGAGTGAACCCTGATGTAAACTAGGGACGTTGAGTGATAACAATGTATTAGCGTAGGTTCCTGTTTTGTAACAAACGTACCACTATGGTGGGGGAAGGTGATGGTGGGGGAGTTTGTGCATATGTGGGGATAGGAGAGAGAATGGAACGGTCTCAGTTTCTGCTCAACTTTGCTGTGTGCCTAAGCTGCTCTAAAAAGTAAAGCTCATGAATTAAAAAGCAAAAAAGACTTGATTGTCTGCCTAGTGAAAGAGATAGATACCAGTATAGCTAATAAAAGGTAGACTCAATTTCTACTTCCAGCACAATGATAGAGTAGACACTGAAAGACCCCTTCATTGAAACACAGCTAAGTTCAGATGAAATTGCAACAAATATAGTTGCCATGCTTTCAGCAAAAGAAGATCTCAAAGTGAAAAAAAGAAGGCAGAAACAAAGGAAAACAAAGATAGGGAACTGAATCCTGTGGAACAGGAGCGGTAACACAGGGTGGCCCTAAAGATCAATGTCCTCAGCTCTGCAATTAGTGACTGGACCATGGGCCCAAGTAAAGTAAAGTTGCTGAGCTGAGAGCCTGGTTCCA